ACAACATACCTCTTCCCCATGAAATGACAAAATCAACACGAATGTGATAAGCAACTTCATTATGTGAACACACGCTGCTTTTATAATTTTACACACTTATCAAATCCAACAATCTATACCTGGTTTTGTTATCTTTACCAATTGGCCAATTTGACAACGAAAAATGCCCCCATACTGATGAACGATGATTAAGTTGTTATATATAAGCTGAGATTTTGTAAATTTTGGTTTAATAATACTTTTATAAAGCTATTAGCAGCAGCATTAAATAGTGAAACGTCAGTAAAAACAACAGTATCGTTTTGTTTTTCATTTATTCATCGGGAAATACAAGAAAACCTTTATTATAATGACCATCACTAGATTGACAAATCAGTCATTATGCGAAAGATAGAATACATTAATGCAGAACTTCACATCAAAAGTGTATCAATTCACACTTCACAAAAGTAAAAATAAAGGTAGAGAGAAAGAGGAATACAAAGAGACTGTAATAAATTGAGATTTTCATTATTATTATTATTTCCTTTAATTCCTAGAGGAACATAAGGCTTCAGCCAGACGTCTCTATTGCGTTTGGTTCTCTGCCAAAGTTTTCACCGCGCCCCAAGTCTGCCCACACGTTTTCATCTCCTCTTCACATGACCTCCTCCAAGTCACCCTTGGACGACCAACTCGCCGCTTCCCCTTTCGGGTTCCACTCGAGTGATGGCTTGTCTAGTGATTTTACTTGATGGTTTCTTCAGAGTATGGCCAATCCACCCCCATTTCTTCCTGCTTATTTGTTGCACAATCGGTTCCTGGTTGGTTCGCTTCCATAGATCGCTGTTGCTGATCTTTTCTGGCTGGCTATCTGATCTTGAGTATTTAGCGTAGACAGCAGTTGATGAAGGTCTGTAGTTTGTTTTCATTAGAAAGAATAAATCTATGAAGAGTTACAGGCTCATTACTTAACTTAAGAGTGAATCTCCCTCCACTCACTCATCACCATATTTATCCGTAAATGGTGAAATTACAATTTCAATTAGTTCCTCATCACTGGCTGACTCAATACTAATATAAAGTTTTTCACATCAAATTATTTTTACCAATCAAATGGTTATTTTAGTCAGTCTGTTTTGGGTGAAAAAGGTGAAATTAAGAGGTTAAAGGTCATCAAAATAAATAATTAATAGATGTTAGTAACAAAATATCTAAGTTTTAAATGAGGGGTGAAAATTAGTCATCGAATTCAAGATTGATTCTTAGGCGTTAGCAACAAGTTATTACATAATCAAGAAATTTGTAAAATAATGATTAAGAAGAATAAGATGACTCAGAAAAATTAAGCAAAATACAAACAAGTTAACAGAATCAGCCATAATTGTAAAAATTAATCAAGTCAAAAAATAGTTACAAGGGGAGGGGAAAAGTTGTTTTTAAAAGCCTAATACAGATTATGTAGTTGGCCATGGCAAAGAAAGGGAGTGCAAAAATTTCATTCGAACACACAAATTTAGCTTGTTCAGATGTATTCCAAATACCTCTGCTGTATGCAAAAGTCGTACTCGTAGACCATGCGGCGAGAGGTTGGATGATATACGATAAATAACCATAAAAGATTTGTAAGAGTCAACTTGTTACCCAGCATCGGCCAGATGAGCTAGCATTGAGCTGCGTAGAGCTTTATTAGGACCTTTGCTGCACTAAGATGGGAGCTGTTCGGAAATTCGATGGTAAGCTTGGCTGACAGTTAGCCCAATGTGTATAGCTCCTCACGAGCAGTTAAACTGGTTAATACACATGGAAGAGGCGAAACACGGCAGTTTGTCTTTATTTATTTATCGATTGGCTAGTGAATATACAGCATTACTTAGATGCGTTGAAAGTCCTTTTGAAGGCGCTTCTCAGACGCTGTAATAAGATCTCGCTATTAACATCATCCATGAATCGTAACCTTAGGATGACTGATATTTCGGGAACAGTGGGCACCCTCGAATTTTACTTTCTGATTTCAAGTGTTTGTTCAAGAATTTAGTCGGGTTTCCGTTTCGACTTACTAGATCACGGGTATCACTGAGTTCTTCGTTCAGTGTCTCATTTGGACAGGTAATTCTGAAAATATTGGTGTAGTGCCGATGATGAGGAACAACTGAAAAGGAATATATTTCTTCGTCCAATCTTTTGTTTGTTTGTTTCCTAAATGCTTAAAATGAAATTTGGAAATGGTGAAAATGACGGTGTAATTTTACTAACACTCATTGAAATCCTTATCTGTTAATTAATCAGCTCCTTTTTAGATTATTTATCAAACTAAAGGTCCTTATGCTTACAGCTAAACAACTAGTAACAATTTGGTAAGAAAGAATAAAGAATTACAACTGATTTCATCTCACTCTAAAATGCATCATTAAAATATTTCGTCCTTCTAATTTATCTACTTGTGAGTAGTTGAATAAAAATGGCAAAACTTTTTCATACACCACTACAGAAGCCAATACTATGCTATTGTCAACTTATGATTTAAAAATGTTTCAGACGGATATGAAACAAGTAGAAACATGGCCAAATTCTTTGCTGAAGTTTATCATAAGGGCCATGAATTCGCTCAAAGCTGCATATACGCTTTTCTAACGAGTTCCAACAAGCAAAAACGTAGTCCCAGTGATTCTTGCCGATTGCCTTCAATAATTATTTCATCTTCTACTTGTGACATATCTTAAAAACAGTATAATAGGGCCGTTCACTTAGAGTATCGCAGTAAGTTGGTAGTGTCTTACCTCATACATTTATCTTCACATAAAAAATATGCCAAATAGGGTTTGGTAGGGTTTTTATATCTAGCCGTCCTAGCACATAGTCTTCTATATTTGCTTCTAGTTCCACCTCATGCGATGCAAGGAGAGAGTTGTGTGTACAGAGGATGCTCAGAGTCCAACTAGATAATATTCAAGTTTTGGTTTGCAGGAATTTTATTTAATTGGTTACAGGATTTCATCGTGAGTTGACGTTGGTTAGAGAGCTGTTGGAAAACCAACTGGGAGTACTGGACAGCTGTTTATTCCTAGTTTGGGACTCTCCAGCAGTACGCACCCACCGTCAGAGTTCGAACCCAGGACCTTCTGGTTGCAAGGCGAGCTCGTAGACAATTAAGCCACTGAAACCCTGTCCAATGGTCCATGAATCCCAACCTCTGCCAATTCACAATATGGCGCGACCAGCAGTGAATGTTATCCGTGGCGAGTATTTGTCTTCACACCCGACCTGAGGTGTCCCACTGTTCACGAGACAGGAAGAAACAGTTGTCCAATACTCCCAGGTTTTCAAATGGTCCCCTGACCGATTTTAGTTCAAGATAATATTCACCATTTTCTTGCATGAGTTCATATTGTCTATCTACAGCAGTATTACCGAGTTGGTTTAGAGACACCACACTCGCCTTAATGGCAGTCTTTAGTGCCCTTCCCAGTGTAACAAAACACTCCTTAAGTAGCCCATGAAATAGTAAGGTGCGGAGGAGACTAAATGATACCAAACTATCTTAACTTCCCTTCGTAGAACGTAAAACGAAATATCCTTCTAGAAACTAACCTAATGTGGGAAGACCAGGAAAGATCAGAGGAAATACACAATCCAAGGTATTTAACATTCGATTTAATTTCAACTTCTATGCCATTTATGATATTGGAACCATTTGAACTAACCAGTTCATGTAACTAGCGCTTGCGTCTGAAAGTGAAATTAACAACTTGACATTTGGAGAGATTTAGCTTAAGACCATTTGAATAGCATCACTGACTAATTTCGGATAAAAAGTTATTCATTTTAGAACGGTCTGAATGAAAAGTAACAGACACAGAAACAGTCAAGTCATCGATACACTTAACAAAACAGGTTTCCTAAGAATTCGGTAAGTCATGTAAGAAGAAATAAAAAACAGAAAAGGAGAAAGAACATCAACTAGGGCAAGTGAAGCTATGGAGGACTTCCAGTTATAGACAATCAGCACAAATTTTACTAAGTAATGGATGAGCGACAGTGCTTACTCTCTAGTAACGAATTAGTGTATCATATTAAATGTTTTTCAATCACAAAAAATTGAACTTTCATTGTTTTGCGCAATCAATTTTAATTTAAAAGAACAAATACCCATGGAAGACTTATGAAAAGAAAAACAGACAAGATTAGAAATCACCTATATAATTTTTGGCAGAATAAGCATCAAAGATAAGATTTCAGGTGAGCACAGAGAAAACAGAGTTGGTGAAGATTCCTGGCCAACACTAAAAGCAACAACAGACAACAATCGGCATAAATGGGAGAAATCTGAAAGAAGCAACCTCCTTTACCTACCTACCTACCTACCTGGGAAGCATGGTTTCAACTACAGGCGGATGGAACTGATGAGGATATCAAAGCTAGGGGAAAGCATGGCAAGCTTTCATTTCCGTCAAGTCTGTGTGGAGATAGACCAACAGCACTCAGCAAGAAAAGGAATATCTGGATTTTCAACTCCAATGTGAAGCCAGTGCTACTCACTGTACGAATCAGAGACTTGGCGTGTCACGAAGCGCACTTCGGACACACTATAGACTTTCATCAAGACCTGTCTTCGCTCAATACTACTCAAAATCAGATGGCCGGTCAGGAAAGATCAGCATCAGGGATCTCTGGGAGAGAACCAACCTATCAGGAATCGATTGCGCAATAAATAAGCATGAAGAAATGGAGGTGGATTGGACATACTCTGAGAAAACAAACCATCGAGTGACATCACACTCCAGGCCATCGCTCGAGTGGAACCCGAATGTGATGCGGAGAGTTGGTCGTTAGTGCGAGGTGGGGTGATATGGAGGAGGTCATGTGAAGAAGAGATGAAAGTATGTGGACAGATGTGAAGCTAGGTGAAAACTTTGGCAGAGAACCAAACGCAATAGAGATGTGTGGCTGAAGCTCTGTGTTCCTCTAGGAACTAAAGGAAACAATAATATTAAATAATAATATACAATTTTTGAATTTACCTGGTTTTTTCTATAATTATGCTGTGATAGTGTCAAAGTACGATAACAGAGATTACCAACAGTTTGCCAGGCTAATATTTCACTTTTCTCATCTAAGTAGACATCTTGTTCATTCAGACAGCCATTGTCTATTCCTGATTCATTTAATTTGGAGATTAATGAAATATCTGATTCAGAGTTTAACATTTTTGAATTTTTTAAATAATCATACACATTTGATGTTGATCGTTTAGGCAGACTGCTTAGAAGATTGAAGCTGAGAATTTGTATAATCTATAGTTTAAAAAAAAGGAAATGATATTATGATTATAGGCTTATAGTAAAGCGAAAGAAAAATATATACTTTTTATATGGTATAAGGTGATTATTCAAAAATTTCATACAATCTACTTGTTTCCACTTATCTACATCAACTTCATCAACTTTGAAAATGCTTTCGATAGCGTTGACTGTGAAATAACTTGGAGACTGTTTCAACACTACGGAATGCAATATACCAAGTGATTTACAAATGAAAAGCTCACCAAAATGCGGGAAGAGAAGACAGGAGTAAGACGAGGCCGTCTATTATCACAAATCATATTCTTGACTGCAGTCATCTGGATCATGCAGCGGAAGGTGGTGTGCGAGAAGGTGAGCAGATGTTGGACTGGCAAGAAGACTATATAAGTCCTAGACTTCTCCGATGATTTATGTATCACAAATTCGAGGATCCACATGTGAAAACCAACAAATTGGTGGAAGAATCAGAGAAGATAGAGGAAGGTGATTAACAACCACAGCAACAGGCACCAGTCACCACCAATGGGAAAAATCCAAAGGAAGTCACCTATTTCACTTAAATAGTCAAAAACTACAGACGGGACAAATGAGGATTTCAAAGGCATGGTGGCGAAAACAATATAGAGCTTGACTAACCTTAAAATCAAGGCGGAAATCTATTGCATTGAGTACAAATAACGAAATTCAGATCTTCAAAACTAATATCAAGTTAGTTAGTGCACCTCTATGGTTCAGAATCGGCATGTCAGCTACGAAAAATTCTTTCAACCGGCTGCTGCAAACTTTCATCAAGTGGAGATCGGATGGAAGTATCAGCAAGGAATTGTGACACACAGCAAACTAACCAAGAATCTATCGCCTGACAAGTATGCAGAAGGAAATGGATATAGATGGGAAATATGTTGAGGAGGTCGTTTAGCGACATCACGCGCAAGGTAGATCCTCAACAAGGGAACATGAATGGGAATGGACGAGTCAGACTTGGGTCAGAGTGTGACATGCAGCAGATCACGTGAGGGAAAGTGGAAGCTGATGAACGATCAAGGAGCTGGATAAGTAGGACTCTAGAGAAGAGGACAAGATGGGGGTGGGCTACCGAATTAATGTGTTCCACTGGAAACGCAACGCAGTAATAATAATTAATCTCCATGAAATAATACACTAAAAATCTTAAATTTCTTCTTTAAATGTTAACTAAAGGGTTTAAAATCCTCACAGTGACCGATTTTTTCATAATTTGTATGAAGGCTCAGCGCGTAATCCTCGTTATGAACCTTTTACTTCATATTTAATACATTAGGAGGTGAAGTGAAGCCGTAGATCACGTCCCCATGGATCCACGTAGTCAAAACAAGTGAAAATACTATTTCTTTTAGATTCTAAAACCTACTTCCATTCATCTTTTGGAGTTGGACTTTCCTTCATATCCACTGATTTAATAACATTCGAATTTAAATGAAATTAGCTCCCATAAACTTGTTTTATGTATTCAGAATTAATGTATTATTAGTATAACCCTGTCTCAGAAAGCTAGTTTTAAAAGTTTTCTTATTCCTTCACTTTCAAAATGGGACATAGGGCTTCGAGCTGGAGATTTGAAGCTTCGCTAGCAGTGGTTTTTATTTTTACGCGGTGTGGCTGCTAGCCTCACGCCCAACCTTTCTTCGTTACAGGATTATTGAGGCTTAGGAGTGTGTTGTTCGTGAATTGAACCCTGAACCACATGTGTGGTTGGCGACCGTTCTACCTCTGAACCACGGATGTAACAGCTTTTGAAAAAACCAAGGGTTATTTTACACAATGACATTTTCACCCCTTCCCGTTTTTATTTTATTTATTTTTACCTGTTATCCGTGATTTCAACCACTTAATAAATATTTTGACGGATGTTGATTCAGTCTTGATCAGAATGTCCGAGATATATTACGCAAATACAATCATTACACGTTTTAGAAAAATTACGTCTACGTCACTGTTTGGATGATATCCAACAAATTTTTTCTGTTGACATGTTTTAGTTCATTAATAAGTTCACTGTTGTGTTAGGCATAAATATCAGTCAGACACTGGCCCGCCGTCTGTAAGCGAGGTCACAAAAGCTATCTGTAATTTGAAACGAGGCAAAGCGGCAGGACCCGACGGAATTATTCCGGAGGTGTTTAAATATGGGGGTGACATGCTAGTATGTAGTTTAACCAAGGTACTAGGTAACGTCTGGGAATCAGAGACGCTTCCGTCAGACTGGGGTAGTTCACTTATTATACCAATATTCAGGAAGGGAGACAAGTCCTCATGTGATAATCATAGAGGAATCAGCCTGACGAACATAGTCTCTAAAATCCTAGGCTCAGTAATCATGCACAGACTAAGCAGAACTCGGGAGAAACAAACGAGGGAAAATCAAGCGGGCTTTAGGCCAGGTAGAGGGTGCATAGATCATATCTTCACTCTCCGACAGATCCTAGAACATAGACACACTTTCAGGCGTCCAACAATTGCCGTATTGCTTGACTTGAAGGCGGCCCTCGACTCCGTGGATCGAAAGGCACTATGGCAATGTTTGACTGTGAAGGGAGTGCCAAGAAAGTACATTGCACTAATCAGGGCGCTCTACTCAAACTCACGTAGCTGTGTAAGGGCTTAAGGGGAACTGTCATCTGAATTGATAACAACCAATGTTGTCCGTCAAGGATGTCCACTTTCCCCTTTTCTGTTTAACTTCATCATAGATATGCTAATGGAAGTATCCTTAACTGAACTTAACGACTTAGGAATCGACTTGTTACCAGGGAATAGTCTTATGGACTCAGCATATGTAGATGATATAGTGCTGTTAGGAGAGGATGCTGACAAAATGCAGACTCTTCTGAACACCTCGAGCAGCAATCTTCGTATGTTTGGCATGCGATTCGCCCCTGTAAAATGTAAGATGCTGCTACAGGACTGGACTACGTCTACCCTTAGCTTAGTGATAGGGAGTGAAGTGATAGAACATGTTGACCACTTCACCTATTTGGGAAGTTGTATCAGCACCAATGGATTGATTGATTGGTGACGAAATCTCAGCTCGGATTCAAAAAGCTTGGGCTGCTTTCGCTAACTTACACCATCTCTGGCGTAGGTGTGACATCCGACTATCAACCAAGGGACGTGTGTACTGCTCAGCAGTTCGCTCCGTCCTTCTCTACGGCTCTGAAACATGGCCAATACGAGTTGAAGACATGAAAAGGTTGACTGTTTTTGATCATAGATGTCTACGATCTCTTTCTCACTTAAGGTGGTATAATAAGGTAAGTAATGTTGACGTTAGGCGTAGAGTGTATGGCGAAGAGGCAAAATCACTCGAAGAGGCTATGAAGTTACATAGATTGAGATGGTTAGGCCACGTGCTGCGCATGCCTAGCCATCATCTCCCCCGACGGACGGGCATTACTAGCTGATATAGGTGCAGGTTGGAAAAGAGTAAGTGGTGGCCGAACAAAAACATGGCCTCATCAATCCATGAAATCCTTGACAGTTAAACTGAGTCAGGTAGGGAGATGCAGACTTCCGGTTTGGGGCCCTCGGGACTCTAAGAATCAATAGCTGGAGCAACAGGTGACATGGCTCAAAATCGTTGTCAATGGCTTATGCAGTCTCTGTAATCTTTCATATTCCTTTCTACCATTACTCATTCTGTTTCACTCTTATGCTTGTCAAAACTCTATTGATTCCCTTCACTCATTTTCTTGTCTACCTTTGTGTGCTATTTGGAACGTGGCAACTCGAACTGCTGCACTTCGGTGCCAAGTTCTATGTTGAATCCGGTCAGTCAGTCTCAGGCAATCTCAGATAGTCTTACCAATAATTAACTGCTTGATTTTGAAAGTTTACCAAGTAACTAAACTATAGATTTATTTATTCTCAGTTTAACTTGCATTTCTCGGCGATTAACTACGTTAGAAGGAAGTACTCCGTCTCCGCCGACATGTTGTTTCCTATTATGGACGCTCCAATGATGTCTAAGTTAATTAATTAACGAGAAATGTAGATTAAAGTAAAAGCAAATGTCACAAAAGAAGTGGCTCACATCGCCCCATAACTAAGTGAATAACGTTTTGGCGTTTGAAACGATAGGTGCGGGGTTTTGGATTTCACTGCAAATACAGTCACTTACTGTGGAATTCAGATATATCTATCTGACGAGTCATAAAAGTGTGGTGAAATGCCAGTCGGGGATTCTATTGTTAGTCGGCAGCAACGGAAATAAACTATAAAACCCCTATTCTTTGTAAAATGACTTACATTTCCATCTGAGAACTGGTAAATCTATCAAGTTTACACTTTTTTGATGTTATAATTCAACCATTCCCTTTTTTACTTCACAGTCCTTGAGTAAAGAAAGGCATAGTAAAGCGTCGGTATGTCAAACATTAATTAATTAGTGGTGAGCCCTTGGGAGTCAGTCATTGTTTAGTAAACCGATGTTGATTCTTATAAGATGACTGAACTGTGGTTATTGAATTCAAACCTGGGACTTCCGATAACCTATCTAATGAGCTGTGATAACTAGTTGTTGATCAGGGTGCAATTTCACTTGAATCACCTGGAAGTTTGCAAACTTATCATCATATGCAACAGTATCCAGTTGTCATAAATCATATGGTAATAATTTAGTGTTATGAAATTATTATTATCTTTTTGAGTTAAACACTTAAGAGATTATCTGAAGCTCGTGATTTCAAATTCTCCTGCGACCCAATCATTACTTACCTTAAGTTAATTCAAAACACTGTTGTCATTATACTGATAATTTCATCGTATAGTTTATTACGAACTAGCATTAGTTGGAGATCACTGAAAACGAGACAGCAATGCATAGATGTTTCGTCCTGGTTTGGAACTCATCATTAGTATGTACCCACGACCCCTGTGGGGATCGAACCCGGGACCTTCAGGTTACGACATCAAGCTCGTTGACCAACCAGACATTCGATGAGCTCAACATTGAA